ACTCATCCTTGCCTCCTCCCCGGTGTGGAGCCAGCAGAAGTGGATGCCTGGAGATGCAGGACACTTGCAGTGCTGGGGGGACTGATGCCCGGGGATGCAGGATGCTCGCAGTGTTGGATTGCTGTGGCAACAGGGATGCAGGACACTTGCAGCACTGGATGGTTGATATGTGGGGATGCAGAATACTTGCAGCACCAGCTGGCTGGAGCAGATAATTCATGCCCAAGGATACAGGATGCACACAGCACTTGATAGTGGGAATGGATGGCTGATGCTCAAGGATGCAGGATGCTCTCGGTGCCGGTTCCCCTCCAGAAGGAGCATCCTTCCCTGCTCTCGGAGAGAGGCGGCTCTGGGATGCAGCAGGGCCTCATTGGTCAGCGGGACCTGTGGAGTCTGCCGGTTGCCATACCAACCTGCCTCTGGTTCCCGGCCAGCCGGGGCGTGAAGTGCCGGGTCGATCTGGTGCCAAGGGGCGGACCGGGAGCCAGGGGCAACCCGAGGCTCTGCCAACCAGGGAAGCGTCCATCTGCCTCCGCCGGAGAGCTGGCTGGCACTGCCGGGCTCCCCGGCCCCCCGCATCACCCTGACTCTGCTCCCCACCGCTCCCCGCAACTTTGCGGTGCGGAGGGGGCCGGCGGGCGGGCACGGCACTGGGGAACGTGCCCGGGCACCTCGCTCTCTCTCGGCTCTCACCTTTCGTGAGCCCGAGCCCCGGGAGGCGTATCGCCGCCAGCCGCTCTGTCCCGCCGTCCCCCTGAACCGGAGCATCCCCGCGCAAAAGTTGCCGCTGCCCGCCGCCGGGGAGCGGGGCCGGCGGCTGCCGAGCTGCCGGGCGCTGCCGCTGCCCGCCCCGCCGGGCTGCTCCCGCCGCCCATGCCCGCAGGGTCGCTCCGGGCAGGAAGGCTCTGTCCTCCCCCGGGCATCGCCTGCTGCTCGGAGGAGCTGGGGGGCTGTTTGGAGGCCGGGAGGGGGTGCGGCTGGGTCCCTCCCCAGCGCTGGGAGCTGGAGCCATGAGCCACTGCCAGCAGCGCTGCAAGAGGCAGCTGGGCCGGGTGATCCGCTTCTTCTATCAGTTTGTCACCGGCACTCTCTCCCAAGGTAGGTGCCGCCCCGGAGGACACGGGGTCTCTGTTCTGAGGGAGGGGTCTCTGTCTGATGAGTTCTGCGGGGTTATTTGGGGAGGGGGGAAATGCCGTTTAGGTGCTGAACGCTTCAGTCTCTGGCAGAGGGGTTGCACTGAGCTCCGTGTGGAGCAAAGCTGAAGACCGTTCCAGGAGGCAATGCCAGCCCCTAATGGTCCCCTGTGGACCTGGGGTGATGGGAATATTTTATTTGGGGAGGGGACTGGTGCAGAGTGGAGCGTGAAAGAACTGCTGTGCACATAAATGGCAGCTGGTCGGACCCTTCCCTGCCATATGAAGGAATCTGACTCCTCTGGGGCCACAGCTGTGCCCTCCATCCATCTGGCCAGGAAAGCCCTGGGTGTGCCCCACAAGCCAAGGCAGGGACACACTCTAGTGCCTGCATCAGCTTGTGTCCTGGGATGCTTGGTCCTGGGGACAGAGCTGCATATGTGCTCCTGGTTTGCTGTCACAGCTGTGGCAGGACCCTCACCCCCATGCCAGCCCCTGCACAGACTAGCCAGTTGGCCAGGACCCCCTCTTCTGAGCGTGAGCCCAGAACCACCTCCTAAACCCAATGGGCACATCCTGGGGAGGTCATCATGTGCCTGTGTGTGCTGGGACTCCCGTTGTGCCACTCCTGCTCCTGTCCCTGTGCCCCTGTGCAGGGGGCAAGCTGCCATCCCCATGGCCTTGCCCTGCTGAGGACCAATGGGCTGTCCCTCTGAGCAAAAACAGTGCCAGGGCATGTATGCACTTCCTCCCATGAGTGTGGAGAAGGCCTTGTTGGGCACCCGTGACAGTTTCATGCCTTGGAGCAGGCCTGGGACTTGCACTGCCTTTACCAGGACCCAGCCTGCCCGAAAACCCCTTGCAAGTTCTGGCCCCTCCTTTCCTGGGGAAACCCCTGGGTCTCCCCAGCCTTTGCCTATTCCTGGGGCCAGGGAAAGGCGGGGACAGCATGGAGATGCACTTGGCACAGTCCTGGGGGTTGGGAGCAGTATCCACCCTGTGAGCCATGCCCAGCTGGCATGCTACCTTCCTGCCCACAGAGATCTGAGCCCTGGGATGGAGGGTCCCCCTGCAGCAGGGGACAGTCCCCCAGGCCCAGCAGTGTGCCAGGCTGTGGAGGCTGGGTGTGCCACAGGCAGTGCCAGGTCCATCCCCACTAGTTGGCTCCATTGGGCACCAGCCAACTAGTCCGGAGTGAAGGAGGAAGAGGATGAGTCAGCTGAGTCTGGCCCTGGACTTGAGGGGCTGAACTGCAGGTAATGGAGTGAAGTGGGGATGGGACTTCAGTGTGCTTCCATCCCCACCACCTGCAAGGACACCCTGCAGGTCTTTATCCCAGTGTCCTGGGCTTTGCAGCTGGGCACTATGGCACTGGGGCTGTAGTGGGTGTTCCTCACCACTGTGTCTCTGGACTGGCCGTGCGTGGTACTGAGCAGCACCAAGGGCTGTCCCTACAGCCCTGCTGGGCATGCACGGGGCTGGGATGGGCACAGAGGGCATGGCTGGCAATGGGGCACTGGCTACCACTGCAAACTCTCTTTTCAATGTCCTCCCAAACTCTCAGACAAGCCAAAGTTGGGTGAAACCCAAAGCCAGGCAGCTCTATGTCCCCCTGACTCAACGTTGGGAGTGGGATGTGGGGCTTGCAGAACCTTCTCCGCTCCACAGTGTTCACTCTTCCACAGCCGCTGCTCTGGTCCATGGGTGACCAGGATGCTGTCCCGTGTCCGACTGCTAACTTACCCCATCGTCCCCTTTTGGGGGCAATGAGCCCCTCTGTTCTCCCTGCAAAGGTGAAGGAGGTCCCTTGGAGCTTACTGCAGAAGGCACTGGGTGCCTGACCAGACATGCCTTGGGGCAGGGGGCTCCCGGTTGGGTGCCCTGGGGAGCTAACCAAGGACAGGTCACCAGAGAGGGGAAAGAGAAATGACTCAATCAATTAACCAGATTAAAACTGTGACTTCACCTCCCAAAAATAGCATTTCACCAATATTTTAATGTGCTTATTAATAATCTGCTCGCGCTCTGATTAGCAGCAAGGTAATAAGGGATCAGCTTTAACCTAAATTTAACTCTCCCTAATGGATGATGGCCCCGAGAACAAAAAAAAAGGAGAAACTCCTATCCATCAGGCTGGCCCCCCAGTGGGTCAGCATCACCCACAGTACCTGAGCAGCTGCTGCCCAGCTGTGCCCAGGGACCATCACCTCACTCTGGTCCAGCAGGTCCTACGGCACATTTTGTGGATGTAGTGCCCTAACACCCTGCAGCACTGGCTGAAGAGCACAGGGGTAATCACAGGGGTGGTTCTCAAGCAGGGCAGAGCCTGGCCATGGTCAAGGTGCATGGTCCCCTCCTGAAAAGACAGGTCCCTTGACAATGGATGATTCCCCTGTTCTGTCCCCCATCTGCTCCCACTTTACAGTGAGGGGGCAGTTCCCTATCCCCTGCTGGTGGTGGTACTGGGAGGATGGAGACAGGAACCAGCCACCTGGCTACCTGATGGCTCTGGGTGTTGCCCCATGTGTGCCTATGACACCCTGTGTGCACAGAGCTACTTTCTGGGAAACAAACTCTGCTCCCAGGCACTTCTATTTACACACAGCGGGTGGCTGGTAGGGTGGTTAAATTTAGCTGGGTGGCAGGGCTGCATTGCCAACAACACTACAGAGCCAGGGTGGGGGTGGCTGGGGGAGGCATATACTTCATGGCTGTTACTATCACAGCCCAAATTGGGATAGATGGCACTTGGTGCCAGCCTGTGCTGCCTGTCCTGGCCTAGCTGTGCCTGCGGCAGTGTTACAGGGCCTGCCGCCCTCTCCAGGGCTGAGCCATGGGCATATACCAGAGACACTTTGCCAGCCTATCCAGTGTCACCTGTGGATGCTCAGAGCAGTTGGTCTTAGGGGATAGAGAAGGGAGGGAGTGGCAGATCGGGACGCTTGGATTCTGCTCTCCGAAATGGGCAGAGCTGGAGCAACGCTGTACTCCTGACCCCATACCTGGGTGGCCACATCCCTTGGCTGTAGCTGCAGTGTGGATGTAGAACATTTTGTATACAAAGAGAGTTCAGGGTGAAACACTTGGGTCTGTCTTCCTCAGCCATGTATCTGTATCCTATGGGGCAGCTCATGGGGCCAAGGCAGTCTGGGGACCAGAGGTGTCTCAGGCATGGGTACAGCTAATCCCACATGGTTTTGGATCTGTGAGTGTGCCCAGACTCATGGTGGCACTGTCCAAGTGCACCCAGCATCACAGAGTGGGAACTAGACTGTCTGGCTCTGACTCCAGGCTGAGAAAAGCAGATGATTATCCCAAGCATCCCTGGGGAGGTGCTGTGCTGGGACACAGAGGATGAGATACCAAAGCCTCTCTGTGAGACCCAGCTCTCTGGGACGGCAGAATTGCAGAGACACCTTCCTTCAAGGCCCCATGTCTGGAGCAAGGGCAGACACAAGCATCTCAGCAGACATGCTGGTGTTCCCTGATCCTAGGCTGCAGCATCATTCCCTAGGGAGCCCCGTTTCCAGGACTTCCAGCTCCTCCTTTGAGGTGGCAACAAGGGGCTGAACCCTGAGAATCCCAAGGTCAGCAGGGGACTTGGAGCAGCCCTTGAGCTGTGGTGATGCCTTGCTAGCCCCGTGGCACTGACTTGCATCCACATGGGTAATGAGCCCCGTCTGTTCTCTGCCCCCTGCTTCCTTCTCCCGGCTGATGGTGCCACTCTCCCCCCGGGCCAGGAGGGTTATTTTTAACTGTTTGCCATGTGCTGTCTGAGCACAATTAAGGTAATTGGTTTGGGAGCCTGGTTCTCACACAACGCTCCCAATTACCTGCCTGCCTGCCCGTGCGGCCCCCCGCCTCCCTGCCCGCGGTGGCCGGCTCCTCTGGCAGGGGGACTGCCGGGACAGGGCTGCCCCAGATAGCACGGCGGGGCTGGGTGGGGGGCACAAGTGGGCACAGGGGATGGAGCCATGGAGAAGACATCCCTGCACAACGACAGCCTGCTCTATGCCTCCCTGATTGCCATCCTCCTCCTCATCTCCTATTGGTTCACCACTCGCTGCTTCAAAATCATCAGCGGCATTGAAGGTACGGGGCTGGGGACTTGGGGGGACAGGGTGATGCTGGCTCATCCCATCTGCTTCCACGAAACAAGTGGTGAGGCAAGCCAGATGCTTGGTGTGGGACAGATGGACTGGGGACCCTCTCTCTGTCTCTCTGGGGCACCTCCATCTCCTCCTCAGTCTCCTAGTTGCTCCTCTTGGCCCTGGTCCTGCTCCGCCAGTGGCAGCCACCAGTTTGAGTCGTGGCAGTATCCAGGGCTGCTCCAGGGTCCACCACGCTGCCGGTGTCCAGGTACTGCTACCCCTCACTGCAAAATGGAGACACGGACGGACTCCCTGGAGCCTCCTGCTCTTGTGGTGTGCCCAGTGCTGATGCCGGGACCTCAACCTGCATTTTGGGGCTCTGGGTTCCTTTGGGAATGACCTACATCTTTGGTCCTTAGCTGGTGTGTTTGGGAGCTCTGGGGTGTGCCAGGGGTCCCAGTTTTCCTGGTGAAGGGTCTCTCCAAGCCCCGCTGCAGTAGGATGTGAATGCCAAAAGTTTTGCAAGGTGAGACCCTAGGGCAAAGAGCAGGGCAGGAGGGGTGGCACTGGTGCCACATGAGTGAGGACATGCAGAGCCTCTCCTGTCTCCTTGCTCCATCCATCCGTGTGACCTCTCTCTGCACAACTCAGCCAGGGCCTTAAGGCTCTTCCCCTGGCATGGACAAATGCTGGCCGGCTGCAGGGGTGAGGAGACACCACTGGGAGTGATGCCCCTTGGTGGGATGGGGGGGCAAATCCCCCTCCCACTTCTGGTGGGGTGTGTATGGTTTCAAGAATCCCTTTGCAGGCAGCTGAGGGTCTGGCTCCCACATGTGGTCCCATGTGTCTCCTCCGTGCTAGGGGCAGCTCCAGATGGAGTAGCATCCCTGGGAACCCAGCCCATCTGGACCTGTCCTCGGTGGGACAGAATGCGCTCTGGGCAAGAAACCCTGGGGAGTTTGGGAGTGCTGGGAGCTGGGCTATGACGTGGTGTGCGGCACTGGGACATGGGACCACTGTCAGGTGCCTGTGCCAGTCCTGATGGGGTCTTGCAGTCATGCTGGCAGCAAAGAGTGGAGGGTTTTTATCAATGGGTCCAGCATGGAAATGTGTGATCCTGACATGGTGAGTGGGAGATTTATCACTGCTCTGCTGTGGAGTATGGCTGGCGTGGGACAGGCACAAGGGCAGGAGGGGAAGCTGTCACTTTGTGACTGACCTGCTGTTGTGCCCTTCAGCCCCAGCATTCCACAATGCTGGCCGAGACATGTGAGAGGCTGATGATGGTCCATTCAGGGACTCAGCAGGTTTGCTTTGCAGAGGAGCTGCCCCAAACCCTCTTTGCTGGGACAAGCCCTGTCTCAGGCTGGAAGGACTCCTCTTGCTCTGTATCTGGTCAAAACTAGGTTGCAAAAATAGACCCACAGTGTGCAGGACAGGCATTGGCACTGGGAGCTGCTGGAGGCTTGAGGAGGTAATGGGTTGTAACTGGGGTTTAGCAAGAAAAATGGCTTTAAAAATGCAGTTGGCATCAGTGGGAAACTTTCTCTGAGAGTGCAACAGGTCTGTACCACCCTGGCCTGGAGGGACTGACTCGGGGCAAAACTGGGAGGCAGCCACATGAAATTCAGCCTCAGTGCCTGGAAACTTGCCTCTTTCCAAGAAAAGGAAATATCAAGTCTGAAAACTTCCAGCCTGAGAGATGTTTCCCCAGGGAAAAGTTTCAGCTTTCTCCTCAAGACACCTCTGATGCATCACTGGTATCTTCTGCTGGCATTAGAGCCTTGGGAGCACATCCCAAGTGGGCAGGAGATGCTGAGCCTGGTGGCACGGAGCCACTAGATAGCCTGGCCATGCCATGACCTGCAACTGAGGCACCAGCCCTCTCTGTCCCATGCCAAGGGACAAACCTGCAGCCTTCTGGGCTGGATATGGGGGTTCTTGGGGGGATTGGTGTGAGGCAGCCCTGCTGGGAGCTCTTGCCAGTAACAGCCAGCACCTCTGCCATCCCTTTCTCCCCGCCGGCCTCTCAGGGTGACATTTCTTCCCCTGGTGACATATTTCTCACCCAGCACAAAGATAGTAGGGAGAAAAGGGGATTTCTGCCCCAGTCCTGTCAGCAGGCCCCTTTGTGGAGGCAGTAGGGCCCTAGAGCTGGGCAGGAGGTGTGCCCCATAGCCTGGGCATGGCCACTCCACCTCTGCCTGGGGCAGCTGACCTTGCACCTGGGGGGAACTGTGCAGGGTGGGGAGCAGTGGTAGCATGGGGGGCAGCCCTGCTCCCTGCCTGCCACACTGGTGCTGGAGTTAAAACTGATCTTGTTTTGTGTGCCATGTGGGAATTCTCCACGTGGAGATGGGCAGTGACAGCGGTGTTCCTGGGGGAAGCTGTGCACCCCAAGGGTGTTGAGCCCTGGTGATAGGCAGGGACCAGCGGACACCTGGCTCCCCAGTGATCCCTGTGGACTGTAATTGAGCAGCCAGGACATGGCTGGAATTCTGTTAAAAAAAAAGCAGAGGAACTAAATTTAGCCCTGTTGGCAGTGTGTGGATGTGTGCTTGAAGTACACTGATGTCTGGGTTCACCCTCTGTTTCCAGCTGCTCTGTGACCTTGGCTGGGTCCCTTAGTCCCACTGCATCCCTGAATCTTCTCCTCTCCTGGTCATTGGTGCACCGCCTGTGGGTCTGGCAGTGTCTTGGGCATCCTGCACCACAGCCTCTGCTCTCACCCGTTCCCACAGCCCTGCTTTGCATCTCCCCTTAGTGCTCCCACCAAAACAGCTGGACCCATCTGCCTGTTTGGAAATGGGGCAGATGAAGTTGTTGCCCCACACCTTCCCATGATGCTCAGCCATGTTGATCCCCGTGGGGCAATCATGTGTCTGGGGCACAGAGGACAAATCTGAGTCATTCCCATCCTGGATGTTTAGCCAGTGCCCATTGTCCTGCCCCTCCCCGTGTCCCCCCCTGGGAACTGAGTGCCTTTTAATATCTGTGGCCCGTTTCCCTAGCAACTGCATTAAGCAAATCGATGGAGGTGGTGTCATTGGAATGGGAGGGCATGCCTCCTTCCCCCCTCAACCCCCCCATGCCCGCCACCCCCCACGCCTCCCTCCACTTGGCCTCTCTCCACCCTTACTCGCAGACACAGCCCTGCTCTGCCTGGGCTCTCGGCCGTGGCTCCTTGAGCCGCCCGCCACAGCCTCCCGCTGACCCCTCGCTTGCCCTCAGCCGATGGCGGGTGCCCCTGAGCAGAAGGGTGACAGCTGATCCCCCCCCAGGGACAGGGGCAGGTGTCCCTGGGGATGCGTGGCCTGGCGGCTGTGGTGCTGGGGTGACAGGGCTCCAGGACTGTGGTGGGGAGGGGCGGGGGAGTGAGGGGCCATGAGACACCCCCACCATGAACCTGGAAGGCCTTGAGATGATCGCGGTGCTGGTGGTCTTGGTCCTCTTCGTCAAGGTGCTGGAGCAATTTGGCCTCTTCGAGCCTGTGTCCTTGGAAGGTAACGGGTGTGGGCGGTGCTGGCGCATCTGGGAACACGAGGGGCAGGCAGTGGGTGTCCAGAGCTGCCTCCAAGGATGCTCCAAGAGTGCTGCATCCATGAAAGAGTGAGAGAGTCCTGGGACGTGGTGATCGTCTACTGCTTGTAGGAGCATAGGATGCAAGGAGTGGGGTATCCTGCCTGTCCCAGTGGCTGAGGATGTGGGGAGGGGACAGGGCTGGCAGGGTGTCTGCTGTATAGGGGTGACTTTGATGTGTGCTGGGGTGTTGTGGGCTGGGACTGTGTGTAAGTGTGCATATGGGCACCAGGGTGTTTTCCGGCACCTCTACAGGACCCAGATGTTACCAGAGACAATGGTCACCTCACTCTGTGCACGAGGTGTCAGAGTTCAGTTTGTGGAGCAGCCAGGCTCAGGCACAATGGGCACCTCTGGCCTCCCTGCTCCTGGCTCTCCCCAGGGCCCCCTGTGGCCCTTGAGCAGGATGGAGGGACACAGAGGGGGTGTCCAGCTGGGGCCGGGCAGTGCGAGATGCTGAGTGGTGTGCGCAGGACACACTTGTTGGAATCTGGATCCGCTCTTGGGACCCTGTGCATGGTGGGAGGGAGGTCAGGACTGTTTGACTGGGTGCTCCCTGGGCTCCCAGAGAGTTTGTGTGAAGGGTCTCCCCAACCCTGCCCATACCTGCACACACCCATCTGAAGGATGCTGCAGCCTGCCCAGCCCCTGGCATCAGGGCACTGGGTGAGGGGGTGACAGACAGTTTCCCTGGTCCACTGGTACCCTGGGATGCTCTGCTCTGGTTCTCCAGTGCTGACTCTCACACGGGCTGGGTGTAGTGGTGATTGCTGGCTCCCCTCCACAAACAGTGCCAGAGCACTCCCCGGCAGCACCCTTGGGTTGCACCTGTGGGTCGGCTGTGCCTGGGGGTGGGGAGGGAAGGAGCAAATGGGGGGATCTCTCCTTCTGATCTTGAAAACCTGCTCGCAGGACGGGAAAGCATGGTGGGTGGATCATACCAGGAAGGAAACTGAAGCAGGAGCTGGCCTGGCAAACATCCTGCCTTGTGAACCCCAGGGGAGGGCACGCTGACTGTGCCCAGGTTGGACCCCCCTCCCCAGTTCTTCTGGTGATTTGGGGGGTGCCTTCCCCTTCCCCGTGTAGCTGCCCAAAGCTTTGGACTAAAGCAGGTATTGACTGCAGCCATTCTACAGCTCTCAGGTGTGGTGGAAAGCATGGAGACAGAGAGCCTCCCAGCTTCTGCAGCAACCCTGCTGAGGGGTATAGGACAAGGCAGGGGCCACTTCTTGCCTGGTGTGGCTCCTCTGTTCCCTGGGGCACACTTCTCATCCACCTGCAAGTGACTTTTTGCTGGCCTGGGACAGGGCAGGAGAATGGAGACGGAGTGTCCTGTGTCCAGCCTTGTCCTCATCAGCTATCACTCCTCCAGGGGGGACAGTGGCATGCCTGTCCCCAGCTACCTACATTCCCATGCTGGGG